CCTGTGAGCGGGGATGCGGAGCAAGGAGAATGTTCATTTCCCCGGATGCCACCTTAGAGCAGCCTTCTCCTTTGCACTTTGCTTAATTAGGTCACACGATTTGAAAAACACTGCACCTCCGTGTTTTCTCTTTCTCTTTGAAATGACCTCCTCTGTCTTGAGCAGGTGAAGAAGGAAAGGGTTATGAGGAAAGGAGGGTTGCTTGGGGTGGGGAATGCACTGCTTCTCTGTAGCTTTGTTGTAGATTGAGAGAAGGAATTATGGATGCCTTCAGGCTTTGGGGTGTTTTTTTTTTTTTTTTTTTGTGGTACCAGAGATTGGACTCGGAACCTTGCGCTTGCCAGGCAAGCACTTATTCCACTGAGCTATCTCTCCGGCCCCACTGGGTGGCTTTTAAGGGGAGGTTAACAAAGGGCTTAGAACTCAGCATACCTAAGTTCTAGTCATGGTTCTCTTTATTAGTTGGGGAAAGTTACTTAACTCATCTAAGTTTCAGTTTTCTCATCCACAAAAGGTGAAGATGTACTGTGATGACTATGCATGAAAAGCTGCAAGGTCTTGTGCCTGGCACATAAGAGCTGACCATAACTTGTAACCATCATTACTAGTAGTATGTTACTATAATTTATTGACCTCTATTGCAACCTTCCCCAAAGATAGTGAATATCAGCTATAGGGATGATGGGAACAGCAAGTAGACCACTGAAATCCCGTGTTGATGTCTATATGGCCCATAAGGCAAGTGACCAATGACAGATCCAGCTGTCTCAAGTGGTCCCAGCTTGGCTGGAAGAGGACAGAAGCCAAACACTGCCTGTGGCTCTCCTGCTGCTTCTGTCATTTCTCTCCTTCAAGTTTTGTTTGGTTAGTTACTCTGAGTCCTACTATGGCACAGAGTTTGCTGACCAAGCCTTTCCAACCAAGAAATTATTGGGTTTAAGCTGCAAATGTCAGAAGAAATGGAGAGGCGCTGCAACCCCAAACAGTGGCAGAGTCATTGTTGGCTCCAACACGCATAATTCTGATCCCAAGGTGGCACTGGCCCAAGACAAACAGAGACACACAGGCCCATTAGCCAGGCCAGGAACTCACACTGGGCTGGAGTGTAGAATTATTTCTTTGGTCTTTCTTTGTTTGATTCTTTGTTTCCTGTTTTGCTGGCAGCACATCAAGTTCTATACATCCACAGCCGCCTCCTCCTGCCTGCCGCAGGGACTGCTCTTGCCCGGATTCCATCTTCCACCCTGTCTGCGGAGACAATGGAATCGAGTACCTTTCTCCTTGCCATGCCGGCTGCAGCAGCATCAACACAAACTTTACTGGCTCCAAGCAACTGGTGAGGGCATCAGGAGCAGCCCCAGGCAGTCTTAGAGCTCACTGAGTGTCCTCACAGACTGCTCCTAGGCTCCCAGACTCATTACCAGCATCCTGGCTTCTGCTGGGCTCCATCCAGCCTCTCTGCACCTCCCCTGCCTTAGGGTCGTATCCTGGTGCCTCTAGCCCAAAGTCAGTTAGAGATCGGCCCAAGTCCAATGAGCTTGCACGCCAGACCTGACAATGATCACAGCAGGAACAAGTCAAAGCACTTCACCCTCCACCACTGGGGCCTTCAAGCCTCATTCTGAAAGGTCCTGAGGGGTGCTTCTGGGTCCTACACCCTTTATCTGCTGCAAACCTCACTGACTTGCCTAGGTAAACTGAGAGCAGAAAGCCTCTGCGACATGAGTCGGAAGGTCATTTGCTTCAACCCCTCTGTTCCCAGGGATGCCTCACAACTGGCCCAAAGTCATGCAGCTGTAGACTAGAAGCCAGAGGCCGGCCTCATGCAGGGCACCAAGGTTCAAGGCCCCGTATCTGTTGGCTGCCAGCCTTCCTCCTGGACAACCACATTAACATGCTCACCTGCTGAGGTCCTGTCCCTCTAAGAACCATGGCACCAGGTCTCCTAGGGTTAGTCAACAGCAAACCATCCTGTCATTTGTTTAGGTAATGAACAAATAGTGAACACTGGATACAGCCACAGGCATGGAGAATGTGGATGTGGGTCTCTCAGAGTCCCTGCTCTCACTGAGTTTGCAAATAAAAGCACAGGATAGTGTTAGAAAGTAACCCATGCCAGGGAGAAACCATGGGACAGAGTGCCCAGGGGGGCCTTGCCAAGGAGGTGACATTAGAACTGAAAAATGTCAGAAGCAAACATGGGAAGACCTGGGAGAAAAGCCTGGCAGTGTGAGGAGGGTCAGGGCTTGGCTGAGCTGGGTGTGCTGTCCAGAAAAAGATACAATGCAGGTGGGCCCTGCTGGACCAGGAGCAGGCTGGGGGCCAGCTTAGGTACCTGGTGTCCTTTCTCCACAAGCAATGGGAGTCCATGTGCTGCCACAGGTTCCCCTGAGGACAGTGACATGCCTGTTCCCTGCGGCTCTGCAGAGGGCATGGCCCAACCAGCTCCCCTTTACCTGCCACCCTCTGTGAGAGGTGAAGCAAGATTGCTTCCCAGCTACCTCTGTGTGCAGAGGAGTGTGGCGCTCTCAGGCAGAGAGGATAAGGAGGCTGGACAAGACACTCCCTCTGTGGCCTTCAAGCTGGAGGAGCCTGTGCTGGCTTCTGTGGTTTTCTTATCTTTATTTACTCACCTCTGATTCATCCTGTCCCAAAAATAATCTTGGCAAGTTTCCAATAACAACACAAGTACATAAAGGTTAAAAATCCATTAGCATAACATAAAGGGGGAAACCCTATGGGTTAAAAATCTAGACTGAGGAGGATAACAGCAATACAGCACACAACCGCCTTCTGTGCTTCCTAGGAGCCAACGCAAAAGAGCACAGAGTTCCCACTGACCGACAGAAGGAAGAATAGCAGCTCCATGCTTCCAATATTGGCCTGACTACTATGGTACTTACATGATCACAGGCTGGGCCACCAGACACCACAGGAAGGAAGGTGAAGGCCATTAGTACCCAGTGGCTGCCAAAGTGAGATGTATAATACTACTGAGCCATCTAGACTGGCAGACTTGACACAGGGGCCTCTTTGGAGGCCTATCTAGACAGGAGTTCCTTTCAAGTAGGAAGCTCCTTCGAAGGAGAAAAGGACCCAGAGCTCGGTTTATGCTGTCAGTGCCCCCATTTACAGCTTCCCCTGCCAGCAGTGCGTAGGCGACACAAACAACCCTGACAGCCACCACAGCTGGGCGTGGGGTAGGCCTGGCCCACCACAGAGCTCGCTCCCAGCCCCTGGTGGCAAGCAGAGGGGTCTTACCCTGGTGTAAGGATCTTGGCATCATGTAAGACCAGGAGCCCGACCTGTGCTGCTGGAGCCCAGACCACGCTGGAGGACAGTCGTGTTCTGGTGGACACGACTGCTGCTGCCTGAACACCGAGGGCCCCCGGGGCACCTTCCAAGGTTCACTTTCTCCACTTCCAAATCCAGGCTGATCCTCCTCGGGACCTGCAGGGCAGAGGGTTTAACCCACAGCAACTCAGGCAAGAGCTGATAGAGATATTGGAAGTGTTTGGAGATGAATCAAGACAAACTTGCCCTCTTTTCCCTCCCTTTCCTCTTCAAGATCTATCTGAACTGCAGCTGTGTGGCTGGGAGATCAGCAAAGACAGGATCGTGCCCCATCTCCTGTGCCCACTTCCTGCTCCCCACCATCTTCCTCATCTCCTTCGCAGCCCTGATCGCCTGCATCTCCCACAACCCCCTCTACATGATGGTTCTGCGGTGAGTGGCGCCCCGGGGCCCGGCTTAGGCTTGCCCTTTCCCACGTCTCCCTCTGTCTTTAGCCCCTACTGCCCACATTTCATCTCACCTCCCTCAGAGTCCTATAAATGACAGCATGCAAGGCTCCTTTGGTAAGGCGAGCAGACAATACTAACGGCCGTGGGGCCACGCGCTACACTAAGCTCCACGCTGTGCCTGGTTCAGCCCCACAGCACCTGTGCGACACAGGCCTGTTAGTGCCTCTCTTCTACATTATTAGCCTGGGAAGATAGAGCTGGTGCCTGGCCGAACCACATTTTAAAGCCAGGTATCTGACTCCCTGGCCTGCAATGCCAGCAGATTCCCTTTTTTTTTTTTAAATCCTGAGAGAACCGAGAGGAAGGAAGAGAATTCAGTTGAGTGTACAAAGTCAAGGCAGGAAAATAAGGCATGTTCCAGAGACAGAGTGGGAGGAAAGGCCCCAAAGGAGACAAGGGCAGTATTCTGGGAGCCTCAGCCAAGTCCTCAGGCCAGGAGGGCCAGGCTGACCAGGTAGGAGGGAAGGAGAGGGGTACCCCAGTACCTACAGCTGGTGCTGCTCAGGCTTTTACAAGGACCATTCCTCCCTTCTCCTCCTTCTGTGGAGACAGCAGCACTGCACCCAGGCTAACCTGCATTACTCTCCGGCTGCCTCACCGCACTCCCTCTTATCCTCACTCGCCTCAAGAGCAGGGAGGAACACAGGCCTCAGAACCCTGGTGCCAAGGGCAAAGTCCCTGCTCCTCCAAATAGTCACTGGCTGAGTGTCCTTGGGTGTTGCCTGACTTTACCAGCCTCAGGATCCTTGCTTATAAAGTGCAGTCGATATCGACCTCAAAGTGTTAGTGGCAGGATTTATTGATTGGTGCTTTACATACTGGTTAGTTATCACTATTAAGCAAATCATCGTCACAGTTAACAGCTAGCTAGGTGCCCAGGACCTGTTTTCTCCTTCGCAGCCCTGATCGCCTGCATCTCCCACAACCCCCTCTACATGATGGTTCTGCGGTGAGTGGTGCCCCGGGGCCCGGCTTAGGCTTACAGAAGGCAAGGAGACAAGGAGAAGCAGAAGCAATCCCTTGTCAAGATCTCCCATTTTCTTTTATTCACAAGTCAGCTCTCCAGCTCATCTAAAAACTCCTTTTCCCAAAGGAAAACTCCACAGTGAAGACAAAGGACTTGATTACAGCGCAGAAGAGGCAGGACTGTCATGTTACATCACGCTGTATCTCTGCCCCCCGAAGCCTACACGGGTGGGGTGGAAGGTCCCATGTGTGAGCTCTGAACACACCCCAGCTGAGGACCCTGAGCTCAGGAGGGCCACTACTTACACTGTCCGCCTCTTCTTACTGCCCCCATCCTGTGTATTCCACAGACCCGCACTTTGCCCAAGGCACTTCAGTGGGATTCCCTTCTTGTACCCCAGGTTCAGATAGACCATAGTAGAACCTCTGAGCTGAGGCAAATTGCATGAGACCATCAAAAGAAGAGGAGACGGGGTAAGGAAATCTCATAGGGAAGTTTCTAGGCAGCAGGGGGTGAGGACAATCCCAATCCAAAGCCAGGAGGGAAAGTTGTGGAGAACAGAGCATCATGTCAACAATAGGATGGTCTTTTCTAGGAACCATCCCCTTTCTGAGTCTGTTCAGGAGCTAGGATAAAACTGGACAGGAGGCCCGAGGATCTCAAAAAGGCTTACAGATAAATCTTACAGGAAAAAAATGACAGAATGAATACTATTTGCGGTGAAGATGAAGCTTAAAGATGACTTTGTCTCAAGCATTATATCTACTAGTCCTGGGCCCCAGCCGGCATGGGAGCATAGACTGGCAGCAAAACTGAAGATGTGGAAGGAGAGAGAATGGTTGGAAACCCAAGAGCAAGTCACGGTCAACTGGGGCAGACACCAGAGGGGCCCAAGACCTCCATCAAGAGCCAGAATAGGGTTCCCTAGTTTCACTCAGCTGAGAATCTGCTCAGGTTAAAGACCAAGACCCGGGGGCACCTATTATGGACTGACCCACTGGGTGGGTGGGGGGACTTGCAGGCAAAAGAGAGCATGAATTGTCAGGCTTATTCTCTGGGGGTCCCCTGGGGTCTCCTTCCCTCCCCGGCCTACACTCCAGTGATTACCTCTTTGTTGTGCCCTTCCTCGGGGAATCTGGAAGAAACCACCTTTCCAATGTGCTGGCAGAACTTTGATAGTGAAGGTGAACAAACTGCAGGGCTCTGGGGAGCTACCTTCCTCTCTGCCTCCTCAGCCCCAAGTGCTTTTTCCTGACAAGCACCCACCCAGATGTGTGTGTGTGCTCAGAGCAAAGTCCAGAGACAGGTCACCCAGTGGGTGCCTCTGCTGGCCAGCTCAGGGCGCTTCACCTCCTGCAAGAGCTTGTCCTCCGCTTCTCTATCCAACGGGAACAGCAGGGCCGGGCCGTCCACCCCGTCTCCAACCCTCTGTCTCAACCAAACAAACTTCTCTCTGTAGAAGGAAGAGGGTTAGCGGCAGCAACAACTACCAAATTTGCAAGACCGTGTACCAAAAAAATATGTAAAGTCCTTGGCTCAAAAGTAATTAAGAATTTCAAGACAGCCACAGTAGAATGCTAAATCAAACATATGCCCTTCTGTGGGTGGAGTCCTGTGTAGCTGTAGAGCTGGCCTGGGGCGAAGCACCTTGCAGGGTGCACAGAAGCTCACAGCCCAGTGTTCTGATTACATCAGGGATATCTTTTCCTAGTACAAGATGCTCTAAAGGAGCTGTTCAGACCTGCTGCTGTAAACACACTGCTACCACCCTTCTCTCCACTCACTGTATCTCCTGTCCTCTTTCTTGTCAAGTGGACTCTGGACAGTCCTGAAAATCATGTAGACCCATGAGCCTCAAACTTGACCTTACGTGATCCCCTGGGAAGACTTGGGAAAGCACAGATTGCTCAGCCTCACCCCAGAGTTGCCACCTCTTCTCAATACAACCATGCATTAGACACACGGCCTGAGAACCTGCATTCCTAACAAGAGCCCAGGCAATGCTGCTGATCCACGAGCCATACTCTCGGAGCCGCTCACGTAACAGAAGCGCTCAGGCCAGGGTAATCCAGTCAGTGAAGTGGCTTGCCACATCACGTGAGGACAGGCTGGGACCTGCTCTGGGGCTGGTTGTCCCCTTCCCCGGGAGAGAGTACATGCCTGAAGCTTCCCTCCGCTGATTTCCTATTTTCTTCTTCAGTGTGGTGAACCAAGAGGAAAAGTCATTTGCCATCGGGGTCCAGTTCTTGCTCATGCGCTTGCTGGGTAAGTGTCCCAGAGCCCCTCACCCAGGAGTGGCCCAGGCTATCGGCATGTAGGGATCAGGGTAGGGCTGGGGGAAGCCCCATCTCATCTCCACTATGCATAATCGACAGCAGATGCCAAGCCCTACATGGACTGTTTCCCTGATTGCTTGAGGTTAGGAAAGATTCTACTGATGGCATTAATTCCAAAGTAAACTGCATAAGAAAAATGGAAAGTAGACACAGTCGGCAATGCCTAATACAGAGTTTAAAAGCAGGTATTTTTAAATCTTAAGAATTCGCTGTAGGAACAAAACCTTGCATTCCTGCTCCAGACAGAACAGCAGCCGAGCCCAAGCCTGGCCTCCTTCCCATTTTGCAAAACTTGCTCCTCCGACTGCTGCTCAGCAAATTTTCCTTCTGCGTGGTGTCTTCTGCCTGTGAACTCTTGTCTGTGCTCAAGCAGTCCAGAGCCCACAGGGGGAATCGAGCTGTACACACGTGACCAGCAGTGTCCCCCTACAAGGGAGTGGGAAGCCCCATTTGTCCTCGGGAGCATGGGCTGGGTATGGAGGACAAATTTCAGGCCTTTCCATGACTGCTGACACAGAGCAGCTCCACACTGACACATCGGTGCTCTGGATTGGGCACCAGGCTGCAGCAGGGAGACGCTTGCAATGACACAAGTCAAGGGATCGAATCCACCAGAGGGTGTATTTGTTAAGGACCTCATGAGTGTGAAGTGCAGTGGGGAAAAATGTAGATTCCAACCAGAGGGACTTCGGTTGCTATCAACACACGTTTTGCCAACTGAAATCTCTCCGCACTCTTACCCAGAAGGCTGCATCCACAGCTCGCCCTGCCGTGGCTTCCATCCTTCCCAAGGGTGTTGGCCATGGCCCATCTGCGGCCGGCTGAGGGAGAGCCTTTGCAGGGCCCAATCTGATCCATGGGCTGATGAGAAATGAACTTTTCCAGTGGGATTTCTTGGCTTCAGGCCACTTGCTTTTCTTCTCCTGGTTGACTTCCTTTGAGTCTTTTCAGACCCTGCCCCTCTGGCCTGTATTATAAACACAGAGGATGAAAGCCGAAGTTTCTGCCCCATCTCCTGCCAGAGGCTCTGGTGTCATTAATAGCTCCTCTGGCGTTTTCATTTATAACTTCTTCTATAACTCATTTATAATCTGCTCTGAAGCCTGCACTGGGAAGAAGACCTTGTACTTCTCCCAGTCCAGCCACCAGCTGCCAAGAGCCCTGCTTCTTTCAGTGACCCTGAAAATTACCACTTTCTCCCACTGCTCAACACTCCAGATACTTTTGTTTTCCCACTGAGCCCAGCAGTTCAATGTGGGGGTCACTCAGGCTTTGCAGAGAGTCCATTCATCAGTGCAGAACTAGAGGTCGACGGGAGGATTTCCTCTTTATGAACTCCAGCACATTCACAATTGCCCACTGAGATCTGGCTGAGTTTTTGCCTGGATTTTATTTTTACTGAGACATGGAGGTCTGTTCTTTGGGCCTGTTTCTATTCCTTGTTCACCTGTAGACAGAAGTAAGCAGGGTCTGAGTAGAGAGGCCACTTCTAGAAGCTTCCAGCCCAGGAGTGGGGCAATAAGTACAATGGATTGCATCTTTCTTTCCTTTAGAAGCAGCCACCGGGAAGCTGAACTGTGGCTTCCAGTATGGGAAGGCCCACGTTCAGTGTGAATCCTGGACCAGCCCCACCTCAGCCCAGTGACTGCCTAAAACACACTAGCTACTGCTAGTGACACAGAGTAGAGGTTCCCAGAATATCACACCCAGTAAGGCACAGAGCCTGCTGGCCCAGGTCAGACCATTCAGGGGCTGGGATATTCAGGCTGTCTAGGGCTGAGGCTCAGAGAACCAGGCCCAGCAGGTCAGTATGAGGTCGTCAACGAATGAGTGATTTCAGATTCCGTAAGCCAGGGTTCAGAGTGCAGCCTTGAGCTCCAGCTCAGCTTCTCCTGGTTGTGGGCAGGAACCTGCTCGTCAGGACCCTGTAAAGCCAGGAAGTGAGGCCTCTGCTGGGGCCAGCCTCAGCGTGAGAACTGCTGTGTGTCTGAATTGGCAACAAGGTGACCCTGTGACTCATCATGCCCTGAAAAGATGGCCCAGGTCCCTTTTATCTCCTAAGCTTTCTGGTAAAAGAGAAATTTAGGCTGCACTGGCAGCTATTCTGCCTTCTCAAGCCAGCGGGACGCTGAGGGGAGGGCAGAGCCATCCTCCCGTGTGGGAACAGGGCAGCGGTGCTGGGGGGCCTCCGCCTGCACTTCCCTATGACCCGGCCTCTCAGAACTCTCTTCCCTGCTGCTGCCAGCCTGGCTGCCGTCTCCAGCCCTCTACGGTCTCGCCATTGACTACTCCTGCATCTGGTGGAACTCAAAGTGCTCAGGGAGGCGAGGGGCCTGTGTCTATTATGACAACGATGCTCTCCGGGACAGGTAAGGGTCCCAGCCCCTGAACCCAAGCAGGTCATGGTCATATACCTAGTAGTCATGGTGGAGGCTGCTGACAGGAGAGGACCCGAGGGGCCCTCCCACAGGGCCTGCCATGGACAGGAGCGGGGGCTAACGTGATAGGCACTTCAGGGTGCACAGGGAGTCAGCCAGCCACTGAGACGGTTCCCTCATCACTGGCCCCACAGTGCACTGCAGAAGTAGTGCAAGGGAAAGGAAGTGCTGGTGCAGACTGAGGGGCACAGGCTGTGGGTGTGGAGAAACACCCAGCCAGCCTCTGATTACTCAGAGGGGCCCCGTCGTGGCTCCTGCAGGGGTAAGCCGTGGCTAGTGGAAGCCCATGGGGCTCTGCTTCCCCTGACCCCACACACGGTCCTGCCACCTTACCTGCTGCCATCCCCACACAAACAGAAACTGCAGGGAAGGTGGCTTTGAGAGGGCTGGGGAAGGGGGGGCTCGAAGCACTGTAGGACTGGCGGAGCAGGCCAGGAGCCAGACCAAGCAATGGGGCGACAAGAAGATGTTCCTTCCTTCTCCCTCTGCTGGGAGAACAGGCCCCTCCAGGGCTGGCTGGCAGAGCCGTGCCACCTCTGATACTATGCTGGCTGTGGCTGTGGAGGGCTGAGAAGCACTGGAGTCCCATGTTTGCTCTTGAGAGATTTATATCTTCCCGAGTCTAGAGTGAGAACGAGATGTCCACCTGGGTAGTGTCAGTCTCAGTCTCACCTCAGTGATGGCAGCCACATTCCCTGGGCCTTTCTCTGGCGGGTGGCTGGATCCTGGGCAGGAGGCTGCAGAGACACTGGCCCTCACCACTCCTGTCTCCTCCACCCCACAGGTACCTGGGCCTGCAGATGGGCTACAAGGCCCTGGGCATACTGCTGCTTTGCTTTATCAGCTGGAAGGTGAAAAAGAACAGAGAGTACAATGTGCAGGAGAAGGCCACAGACCTCATCTGAGCCTCTCCTATCCAGTGCCTGCTCCAAGTGAACCCTGTCTCCTCCAAATGTGCCCACATCCACTAATGTTAACACATCTCTTCCTTTTTGTTTTTTAAATAAGAAAGAAAACCCCAGTCACCACTTGCCTTTCCTACCTCCTCTTCCCATGATTCCTGAAGGCTGATGCCTACCTGAGTTGAGTGGGCTCACAGCTGGAGGGCCCAGTCTTCCTTGGCTCCTTGGATGGGGACCCTATGTACTGAGCTGTCCTTACTACTGGGGCTCCAGACAAAGATGCCTACGTAGGCGGCCCCCGACACTGACCAACCCTGAGGCATTAAATGGAGTAAGAGGAAAGGGATGCACACTCCTTGCCAGGCAGTCAGGTTCTCCTGTCTGCCCACAGCCTGCAGAGAACAGAGTAAGAGGAGGAAGGGAAGGGCTGAGTCATTAAAAGCAAGAGCTGGGCTCCGGGAAGAGAAATCCAGCCTTTGCCCTTGCTGCATCTGGATTCACACGACATGGAGTTCAGGAGGGGCTGGCTGCCACTGCCCTGAGATCCTCCTGTCCTGCCCCTAAGAAGCCACTTGGAAACCACAGAGTCAGAAGTGCAGCAGACTCAGGCATCAAAGCAAGAACTGAAAAACCCTGACGTGGATCATCCAAATGCTAACTCCTGAACCCAAGACCTTTCTGTCCTTAAACCTGCATGAGCTTATCTTCCTCTTCCTGGGGCTACATGTCACCTGGTAGAAATCCACACATAGAGAAGACCCAAAAGGACCTGCCATGTGTCATGAGGCCCGACCTCTCACCTTCACCATGGGGATGAGACCTCTTTCATCTCAGAGCCCTCCCTACATTTCCCTGTGACCAGAGGATCGGGCTTCACATAGACTCCCCTGTACACTCTGGCCTGTATACAGAGGACTGAAGAGAGGTGGTCTCAGATGCCAGGAAAACACAGAATGAGGCAGAGAGAGGTCAGCTGAGACCACCTGGCTGGCAAGCTGCAGCCCACTAGACAGAGGCCAACAGGGCTGACCTTCCTAGCTTTAAACACACTATGCTCATCACCACTTTCTTGGCCTCTTCTCACTGCCTCCAGAAAGGTAGGCACCTTCTGTGAGCCAGTTCTAGGAGGCACTGCTGCTACATGATAAAGATTCAGAGATAGAAGCCAACAACAGACACCTTTCATCAGCAGTTCTTCTGCTTACTGGAGACCGCCTTTGTGCTCAGCCATGCCAGCATGTGGTTCTTCAGAGAGCTCCCCTCATATCTTACCTTGCTTCCCTCTACTGACATGAGGACCTCCCAGACAGTGCTTGGTGGGCAGTGTGGACAGGGAGGGGTGGGGGACGACACGTGCTTCTCAAACACAAGTATCCAAAGACTGCCCAAAAGGATCCTGACCGGCCTTGTGTGGCCCCGCCAGGCTGACTCTTAGGAATCAACAAGCAGGCTCACTGTGTCCGTGGAGCAGCTGGGCTTCTGCAGTACGTGATGTCTCAGTGCCACTTCTCTTAGAAGACATGTTTGAGAACACAGTGGAAACCACCTTATAAGATAACAAAAGTTACGTCCATGGCCAAACTGCTATGTGACTTGAAATCTGTGGAAGCCACTCTCCACTCGTCCTCTCAAAGCCACTACCCAGCCTGTTTCCATGCAGCTCAGTGGGGAAGGAGCTCTAAGCAAACTCAGGGGCCATTCTCAGCCTTTGCAATGGACCTGTTTGGAAAACAATTCTCTGCAGCTAACCCCTGTCTTTCTTACTGCAATTGACCAAGTCCTGAAGGCACTGACTTCCGCTGAGCTCATGGACAATGAATGCCAATCTCCAGGTTCTGGAAGCGTGGTGGCTCTCCCAAACTTTTATTCTATTATATTCCTATTAATATATTATAATTTTGCTACAGATAACACCTGGTCATGAATTTATGCTGTTACATATATCTACCATACAATAGGTGGAGCCTTCTAGGCAGAGTAAGTACCTATGTCAAAGCCCCCAGAGGCCTTATCTCACCACAGAGGGATTTGAGGTATGTGAGTCTAAACCTGTCAGCTTGGTGCTAAGCAGGCACCAGAAACGTGTTTCTTCAGTAAAATTATTCAGGTAACTGTCAAAGCCTCAGGGCACTGAGCTCTCAGGGAGCCTCATCCCTGCCCCAAGTGTATATCCAGAAGGAGAGTTGGACATGAACTGTCCGTGATACAAAGATGAACTAATGTCATAATCACAATTGACATCTTACTGCCCCTCCCTCAGGAAATCTTTTCTCTAATTCCAGCAGGGAATATGTAATGGCTTCCTTTCTTTTCTAGAAAAAAAAGAACTTCCTTGAGCATAAGATGCTCATAGAGGACGCTGCTACACTGTGGATTTTGTATTTTAAGGCCAAGAATCCATTTATGTAATTGGGAAGGGAACCCAGAAATGGCACTTTTTACTGGTCCTTCCATGAGGCTATGGGTGTTCCTCAAGCCCCGTGTGGGGAGTCAACAGTGCAACAGAGCTCTGGGCAAGCCCACATTGGTTCAGACTCCTGAGAAGTGTATCAACTGACAGGTCTTTGGTAAATTCAACTGTAAGTGAAGGATGACAGGGTGAAGGCATTCCAAGACCTCACAGTCCCAACAGGTTCTTACCAGCACTGAGAGAGGGATGCTCATTCCACAAGCTTGGATGCACAACAAATGTCACAGTTTCTCTCCCGTGTAAGTTGAAGCTGGTTCCAAATCCCCATACTACTTGGTGTCTGGAAATTCAATATCAACCATGTTTAGGACGGCTCCCAGAGTTACCCCAAGATTCTTGGATGCCTATGCTTTACAGAAGGTCCCTGGGGGGTCTGTGATTCTATCCCAGTTTGAGGTCCCCTAGTGGCCCTGCTTCTTCACTGAGCCTGGAGGTTAAATTCATCTCCCTAGACACACCCACAGCTCTGTCCTCTTCCCACCGGCTAAGCCCATGCAGACCTAGGGAGCCCACACCCTGCCCCTCTCCATCTCCCTGCACAATCCAGCCCCACAAGAGAGGAACAAAAAGAAGGGGCTGCAGGAATTCTACTCTGTCCTTCTTTGACCTTTCTTAGAATAAGAGGGAAAATATAATGAGAACCAAATATCCTATTGCTAGCAATTATCCTTTGGCCCATAGCCCTTTAGAAAGATCCTCACTATAGTCCCATGATGGTGACCAGACTGGTCTCAGGTCTTAAGGAAAATGAGGAATCTGAAATCAAGAAAGTAATTATTATGGCCAACTTCACACAAATAATAACTTACCAGGCCTGCACTCAGACTAGGCTGCCCAGCTCCCTCTGCCTGATTCACCCCCATATTCCCTTCTGAGTCATTTGGAAGTTGCTTATGGAGTGGGAAACCTCCTCTTCTCCCCTGAAGTTCACTAACCTGTGGGAGGGAGTGGAAAAATCTCAGTAGGGCAATGTAGGGTGAGGAACAGAGGTAGGAAAATTAGTAATATTGCAGTTACCAATCTTCTATTCAGGCAGCACAGAGCATTACAACCATTCATCACAGGCCCACGTGGCCCTCCAGCCCCCCCGAGTTAAAGGAGAGTCATGGAGAAAATGGACAAAGAGAAAACAGTTTTGAGAAGAAAAGGCCCCAAGAACGCTACACACAGGGACCTATGATGTAACACCCCCATCTGGTGACTAGTTAGCAGATTCTCACCTAAGAATCAAAGCCATATTATGATTTTCTTCAACTGTTCTCAAGGATGAAAAGACATAGTTAAGCTGGGACCTGAATTCAGTCAGTATCAACATGATATTAAAATATTAGATTACAGATTTCCAGAAAGATTGAGTGACTCTGTGTGTGTGTGTGTGTGTGTGTGTGTGTGTGTG